CTGCTACTGTACGCCCTTTACTTTCTGTCTTTTGTGCAATTTTGGGTCTCTCAGTTTGTGGCAAAAAGTGTGATTGTTTTGTTTTGTTTGGCTGCTGGAATAGTTTTCCCTTCAGGTCACCCATTTGTCCTGATTCTGGGAAATAGTAAACTGAGGCAGGCTTCTCTGTCAGTGCTGGGGGGACTGAAGTGCAGGTTCAAAGATGTGGACCCCTAAAATCCCTAAAACATTTTGGGGATCCTCTTGCATTCTAGAGGAAGATCACTTCATTAGAAATTGTTAGATGCTATCAATTTATAATTTTCCAACATTCTTTTATTCTCTATTACTTTGTGATTTTACAAAAATTATGTTTGGAATAAGTCCTATTCAAACACTTTTTGACTTTAGCAGAATATACATAGGGATGAATATTAATGTGCTTATAAAAGAAGGATGTGAGTATAGACTACTTAAATATAAGAACTTGTTATAGTAACATGATACAATCTTTTGTCACTCATTAATCTTCTTGAGTCATTAAAATGATTAAACCATGATATATGAGATATACATGTGAATATGCAAGAGACACTGTAAAAATGAAATGGTATAATTATATACACATAAAATAATTTTTTAATGTAGAATAAATGCCTAAAATTCCAGATTAAAAAATTGAGAATAACATATAGACTAGGAAACTAAATGCACTAGATACAATATTTTAAATATTTCAAATCCAATTTAAAGAAGCTTTTTAGAAATTCCTCAGAATAATGAAGCTACTTTATTTTGATTACTCTACCTATATTGTTAACCTTATAATCAAGAATACTTGGAACAAAATGACATTATTAGGAAAATGTAATTTACATTTTGAAATATGTTGCTTTTTTCTAGGTAATTTAATCCATTTTAATTTTGATACACGAGAATACTGAATGATGGATAATGATAGTCCTTTTGAATGTCATACTGGGAAACTGGTGTTTTTGTTATACAATATGTCGTGATATACCTGTATATTACTAGGGTGGAAAACAATCATGTTGTCATAGAAACAGAAATTTAGAGTAACATGTGAGTGACCAACAAATAATTAACATGAACTTTTGCTATGTATATATGTTTTTAGTATTAACTCTGGTAGAAATTAAAAGTAAATAAAAAGTTACACAAACTTAATGAAATAGGTGAAAAATTTAAATTACTTCAAGAGAAGAGATAAAGAGAGGGAATCATGGTCATGTGCTGTGTGTTCAGTGTTGTTAAACCTTCAGGAAAATAGAATCCTATAAATTTTTAGAAATGAAGAATTCTTTGTTCATAATTTCTTTTGAAAACAGATCTATTCAGGCTGGCTGGTTGGTGTTTGTATAGGTTTTTTCCTTTAACTTAATTCTTCATTTATTTATTCATTTTAAAAAAACCTTTTCTCTGTGTATTTGGAGGTATTTTCATGAGAAATAGATGTTATAGAATAAAGTGAATGTGTGTGATAGGTGACCTCTAAAAAGAGAATACTATAATATTTATGTGGCAGGTAGTCTGTATGCTTAGTACCTTTTTAATGCTCATATACCTGTAATGCTATTTTACATGGGAAGWTATTGTGATGCTGAGATGCTAAAAGACTTATGCAGCAGTGCATGGAGATGACAGCAGAGAGCCAGAGCAATAACTCCTGATAGAGGGAGGCACCCCTCAATTCAGTGACATATCAACAGGAGGATGTTGTTCACAGCCACATCTGTGAGCTGGTAGAAGACTACTCAAGTTTGGTGGTTATATTCAAGGTTATTTTTTCTATGATGTTAGAAACCTGGCTAAGATGTACACAAAGAGTTACAGGTATTGTTTTTGTTTGCTTGTTTGCTAATTAGAAGTCAGCTGCCTTACCAATGTGTCATATGARCTTTGTGTCTTTAGCTCATCCTCTTTTCTTTTGCAGATGAATATCCTATCATCTGCATAAAATATTGCATAGTGGTTATTTTACTTTTTCCTTGTAATTATTTATTTTGGATGGGTTGCATATTCAAATGGCTCAAATACTCAAAATCTTAGGTACAACTGTGTTAACTGGCATCTCTTTGTGAATGGATTTTCCTGGTGTTTCACCAGTTAAGTGTAATACTGACTTCAGCTTTGAGATTAAATACTTTTAAAAAATTATCTTTAGAGAGACTCATTCTCTTCTTATCTTTTCTGATAAAAGTTGTCTAAAAGGCATACAATATGCATTCTTATTAACATGTCATATATTTCCCTCTCCTCTGACCAATTAAAATAATGATGCATGTTAATAGTCTTGCATAAAACACTGAGGTCTTCTGTCATACACATGCTTTATTTAACGAAATGTTGTGTAAGTATTCACATTCTATATATAGAGTAAGAAATTTGTAACTATTAGAGGCAAAGTGAAATTCAGAATATATCTATAAGGTAATGATAGGTAATATCCAAAAGGGAAATAACAAAATTGAATCATGAGAGAAATCTATTTTAAAAAATCATATGCTTGGGCTGGGGATGTGACTCAAGCGATAACATGCTTACCTGGCATGTGCGGGGCGCTGGGTTTGATCTTCAGCACCACATAAAAATAAAATAAAGATGTTGTGTCCACCGAAAACTAAAAAAATAAATATTAAAAAATTCTCTCTCTCTTTCTCTTTAAAAAAATCATATGCTAGAAGACAACTGATTCATATTATCAACATGCTGAGCAATGTAACTATAACCCTCAATTCTTGGCTAAAAATATGTCCTTAGAGATCCAACTAATTAATATTTCATATGAAAATGATTGGGGCAATTCCCTATACACACCTCCTCTCTGTAAAGGCCATTAATGGACCTACTTTGGAAAGACTGTGGTAGACTGAATGGTTTGCCACTAAAATCCAAACGTTAAAGCTCTAACTCCCAATGTGACTGCATTTGAGGATAGGGGAAGTATGGATGTCATTAAGTTTGAAGGAGATCATAAACTGAGACCCTAATCCAGTAGGGCTGGTGTCCTTATGAGAAGAGGGAGATCCCATGTGTCTGAGTTCACAGAGAAGGTCTTGCTGGGTCACAGAGAACAGATCCTGTGAGAAGATGACCCACTGACCAGCAGAGGCCTCAGCAGAATCCAGTGCTGCTGGCCTCTTGATCTGGACTTGCAATCTCCAGATCTGTGAGGAAATAAACTCTTGTGCAACACACCCAGTCTGTGGTGTTTTGTTAGGGAAACTGGGACATTACAATAATAATAATAATAATAATAATAATAATAATAATAGACAAAAATTTAATAGGGAAAGACTGATGCTTACCAATTGAAATGCTAGATATGTTGAGAAAATAAATAAGCACTGGCTTTGTATGAGTGGTGATAAAGTTGGTAGCTTATAGTTTAAAGCAAGATATGATAAGATCTTTTATCACATGAACTGCACAAACACACAATTCTATCTATATAAATTATTCTTAATAAAACTGGTTTATAAAAAAAAAATCTACATAACACCATTGGAAAAGGTAACAGTTTAAGAGGATTATAGACCATGTCAAGGCCTTTGCTTAAATTGAGAGAAGACAATGATTTAATTAAAAATAATTTTGAGAGAAGACAATGATTTAATTAAAAATAATTTGAAAGTGTGTGTGTGTGTGTATGTATGTGTGTGTGTGTTGTTTACTAAATAAAATAAAGATAGAAAGCTAAGATAAAATCCCCAGTACTGGGGAAAAAAAGAAAAAAAGCAGAGACCCTCCAATTTTAGAGTAGTACATATACTCTAAAACTATCTAATTAAACTAGTAAATTCAATTATCTAATTAAACTTTACTTGTTTACTTTTTTACGTGTACTACTCTAAAATTATGCATATATAATATTATGTAACATTTTATATAGTGTTAGTATGGTCATATATTTTGTACATTTGAAATTATTTTATTTCATACATTACATCAAGAGTCACATGTAAAATAAATAAGTGGAAAATGGTTTAAATTGTGTGAATGAAAATGAAAGAATACAAGTGGCCAAAGGACTGTTGGGTGCTTTGTAGTATTTATTCTTCCCTTCTTGGTTAGTGAGAGAACACCAGTGTCATCCAGCTGATGTTGGTATCTAAATGCTAAACATTGAATACATTGTTAGATGAGAGATAGTTACATTTTTATCTAATTAAACTAGTAAAAATTTTACATGTTTACTTAGTTTTTAACATGAATTTGAATTCTGAACTAATATACCAAACAAGTAAAAGCTGGTGGAACAATACTATTATCAAAAGAAATACTCTCTAACAATGACATAGTTTTTGTTACATAAAAACAAAAACAAAATCACAACAGGCAAAAGAGGTTAAGTACCTTGCCTAAGGTCCCATAGCTAGAACACAGAAAAAAAAATCAAATGTTAGCCCAAGTTTCACTCCTAAGCTTAACTACTTTGTGATCTGCATATATAGACATCCYTTGCTATCTGTGCAGGTTGATTCCAATACTCATGGTTTCCAAAATCCGTGAAAGCTTAAAAATGCCTTATAAAAATGACAGTATTTGCATATAAACTGTGTGTATCATTCTGTAAACATTAAATCATGTCTAAGTTACTTGTAATTCCTAATAAATGTAAATAAAATGTAAATAGTTATTATAATGTATTCTTTAAGGAATAGGGGTAAGAAAAAGATGCATATGTTCAGTAGTGCCAACATTTTTTTTCCAATTATTTTTTATCTGCTGTTGCTTGAATCCACAGGGATGGAACTAGTGACTATGGAAGGCTGACTATAATAATAAAAGAAGAAATTAGTGATATAGAAAACCTAAGTAAAATGCAGGTGAGGATAAAAGGATCTCTTGGTATAAATCAATAAACAGACAAAAAGTAAAATATAAATAACATTAGAAACACAATAATAGTCTATCAATAAAAGTATTTAAACACCATTTTTCAACAAAATGTACAAAATTTAAATAAATTAAACAGTTTTAATGCTTACATTGGTGGCATGGGAAGCTTAAGTGCCCAGAGGACCACAGAATACTGCTGTCTGCAGCTTTTCCCAGCAGAACCTCAAATAGTTTCATGCAGAGCACCTCTGGTAAGACATGTGTCTGTGAGCAGCTTTCCCAACATCCAAGAGGTGGAATTCTGGAAAGGTCTTGAGAGTGGATTTCCAGTTGTTTTTGTTGGCTCACCTGGATGAGCCATGGCTGTTATCAATGGGGTCTTGTTCTTATTCTTGGATGGTGTGTGTGTGTGGGTATGTGTGCGCGTGCATGCATGCACACGCATGTGCACATAGACTTGTTTTTGGTGCTAAATCTTTGTTTTAGGTATAACAGTTATCTGCTATTTTGATATTCAATCCCACTGTTATAGTCAACAATTCTTTATATTAAATGTTTCCTGTCAAAATTCCTGTGTGATTTGTCTTTTGATTGAACTCTGATCATTAGCAGATATTGAAATATCATTTGATTAAAATTTCAGTGAACCAAAAACAAAAAGACCAATCTATTTGTACTGATAACTATAGTACATTTGCAGTGTTTTAAAAAATGACATATTAGAGGTAATCAAAATGAATAAAATCATTACTAAACAGTATTATGTCTATATATAAACTATAAAGTCAAAACATATTAAAAGTAAAATGATGAAAAAAGATATGACATGCCACCATAATAAGGAAGCTAGAGAGATGGTATAAATTCAAAGCAATAGATTTAAAGACAAAGAATGTATTGCCAGGGACAAAAAAGAAGATTTCATGATGAAAAAAGGTTAAATTCATTATGAGCAAATAAAAGCTGAAAGTTGTATATGTCTAATAACAAAGAACTGAATACATTAAGAAAAAGTAGATATATACTTCTTTTTGTTGTCCCTACTCTTTCTCTTTTCCCTTTTCTTTTTCTCTTTCTCCTTCCCTCTCTCCCTCTCCCTCTTCTCTCTCTCTTTCTCCATGAAAAATAAAATAGATATCTGAATTCCATTTGTTCCCAAATAATATTTCCTTGTGAAAGTGATCTGTATTCACTTCCACCAGTACTTCTGTACATTTATAAAAATGGTAAGAGAAAATTAAATTTCCAAAGAAGAATTTTAGTTTTCTTTCAAATGCAATCCATGTGCATATAGTGTTTTCATTTTTGAGCATTTAGAGCAGCTTCTCATTAATGCTTTTTTGTTCTTTGTTTTGTTTTGTTCTTGGCATATAACACAAGTAGTCCATCAAATCAATTTCCCCCCCATGGGCCATTATATAATTAATTTATTATTATTTTTTTCATTTAAAAAGTACGATAACAAGAAATCTCACATTCCAAAACTGATTTTTTAGATAATTTTTTATTCAGCTCATGGATCAATTAACCTGCAGAGGTGTAGATTGCTAATGTATTTAATCATAGTCATCAGCATTATCACTTGTGAGACCTCCATGAGTAACTTATATTGATAGAAGTGATGTAGATACACATTTAGGGGAGTTGAGACCCACTGAAATCTAGAATCATAATTCAAAAATCTAATTATTTTTAATTATTTTTGGACTTTTGTACAGAAATAAATCTTATACTACAGACCCAAAGATGAGGGAAATAGACTCCAACCACCTCTCTTCTGTTCTTATTGATCTTATCTTTATTAAGTGGGATTGAGGATTGGTTTACATGTACTAATACTACTCTCATTTAATCAGGGCAAATAAATATATTTAAAGACTTGAAAAAAAATTTTAGTGAACCAATATATGTGGAAGAATGATGACAAACCAACAAAATAAGTGAACTAAACAAATATAGGAACATTATGAATAATGGTGAAATGTAGTATATTAAGAAGGTTTGTATTAGAATTATTAGTGTTAACATAGACAAAAGAAAAAAAACTATAAAAAATTGGATGAGATTGACAAAATGATTTATTTGTCTTGCAGACAGAGTTTTGTCTAGGGATAGTCTAGTGGAATTCACAAAGAAGTGGGCAGTGAGTGTATCAAATACAATCAGTAAGTCTTACAGAATTTCCAAATATGATATTAAGGTATTACTATTCACCATTAAGGATTACTTAGAATATGACATTTGAAGCTGGATTTCTTGTATAGCCAGAAGGGGCATGGAAATAAGTCTCATACATCATCCTTTGTTGAGACAGTAATTAAATTGCACAGGAGAACACAAAAAAGGTTCTACATAAATGTATACATGCACCATGTCCTTAAGTTATAGAATCAATTTCCTAATGTGCCTCGTATGCTCAAATCCTCCAGTTCAATATGATTCCGGTAAAAATCACAAGAAATTCCAGGAATATCTGTAAAATTACTGAATCTTTTCATTAGCATTGACCATTAAATATTAAATAGGGTTAGGAGGGAAACCTTTGTAAAAGACCTAAGCATGGAGACATGCTTGATTAATGTTATGGGCTAAGAAGATTGAGTATGAAAGATTGGGGTTGTGGCTCAGTGGAAGAGTGCTTGCCTGGCATGTGAGGTTCTGGGTTCAAKTCCCAGAACCTTTATTCCCCCTGAGGATTTAAATTTCAAGTTCTCTGAGTTCTCATTTTGAAAATTACAAGATAAAATATTTTCTTATTTCTTAGATTTTTCTTTCAGAAACCAGGGTGGTGGTGAATGTGTGTCTGTGTTTATGGTTTATAAGCAATGCAGCTGCATATAAATACTTCTATCAATATCTAATTGTAAGGAGGGTCAGCTTTCCTGGGAGTTCCTAGAAAAGTCTAGGAAAGAGGAAAAACCTACAAATCACTTTCTTTAAACCTTTCTATGTGGATCCAGTATTTTCCTTGAAATAAATCCTCTCTAATAATAGTCCATTCAGGTCATCTCCACATGACTAGGTTTCATCTATCAATTTAGATATTTCTGATGTAGCCTATGTATTAGGTTTTAAAATTTTACTAGCTGACATCCAAACCCAAGGAATGCAAATTATAAACAAGGCAAAAAGCCTGAAAGAGAATATGTCTTAATTTGCATGCTAGCAAATGGGAATTCAGCTTTCCACTGACACCTGCTTTGAAAGAACCCAGCCTATGGTATTGAAGTAAGTTAGGCAATATTTTGAGCTATTTTGGAATAACAATGGTTTCCATAAAAACATCATAGACTTGTTTTTTAGTATATTTTCTATTTCCTATTTGACCTTGGTCACAGAATATAAAGAAAATAAGAACTTTAGTGTACATCCAGAAAAGTGGGGCTGATAGAACTCTAGGTTAGGAGATTATAAATCACAACCAGATATTAAGCATGGATCCTCCTCCTCCCCCAGAGATGTGATAAAATTACTATGGAGCATCATTTCTGTCTAAGTAACGGTAGAATTTGTTTGTGTCTTTGTAGTACTGGTAGCTGCAGTGACTTGAGCAGGAGTCAAAATATCCCTTTGCTGATGGAATTCTCACTGCTTTGGTCATCCACAGAGTTGGTTTGTTTTGGGAAAGTTAAAACACTGAAATGAAACTATGATTATTCAGGTTCATATAGTGGACACAATTAAGAATTATTTTTCTTATTGCCTGGGCAGCAACCAATCATTTTAGCACCTGGCTTGCTTCTAGCCTCAGCATATTTTATTTGCTCAAGATAGCCTTTCTCCAACCTATTTTTATTCACCTAAGGAGGAGAGAGAAGAGTGTCATTTTAGTGTCAGGGTTGGGAATTTTTATGATTTTGTTTTTCATTTTACATGGTAACCATAAGTGAGATCCTGCAGGTATAAGTATACAAAGAATTGTGTCCCAGAGGAGCAAATTGAGCAACACTGTATCCCTCCAATACACTCTAACAAACTCCATACTCTGTTACATCCCTGAGCTGTTTACTCCTTAGGTAATGGCCTGAAGGATGGACCAAGCCAGTAGCCTGGCAAGAAGATGGCCAGTTCTTTCAGCATTCTGTTAGAACCTCTGAGGAACATGTAGGTCCATGACAAAGGGTCCCAAGCACCAAGGTCTACATGAAGGCGTTGCAAGCTCTGGTCTCCATTCTCTTGTTATTTGCCATGTCTTCTCCGTCTTTAATTGTATCTGTTGGCCTTCTAACAGAATGCTGAAAGACCTGGTTATCTTCTTGCCAGGCTACTGGCTTGGTCCATCCTTCAGGTCATTCATTTGTCCCGATTTGGGGAAACAAAAGCAGAAACAGACCTTTCTGTTGTTCCTGTGGCCAAGAAAAATCGAAAATCTTCAAGTCCATAGATCAATAACAGGGACAAAGTGTGATTTTTAGTAGAAATCACATGGAATCAGCAACATTTTATGTTTCTTATCTTCTTTGCAGATAAGAAGTATGTATATGATTTTGAGTAATTTCTAAGCAATTTTCTAGAAAGTCAGTTACCTAGGCTAATTAAGCAAAGGTATACACATGTGAGTATGTTTCTGTGCATGTATGGAAAATGAGAAAGATTGACTATAACATACAATCATTGTTTTTTTGATGTAAACAACCTAATTATACAAAGCAAGGTAGGACATTTTCCAGATATATTTATGATCAGTATATCTCAGGAAATGAATACTATTTTCCCTTGTACTTTATACCTTACTTAAGTGGCATAGTATGTTTAAATTTCATTTTTGAATTTCTAACATTTTGGATTGCAAGGACATTCAATCCCCCTTGCCCCCATACTAGGAGTTGAACCCAGGCCCTCACTCTTACTAGGCAAGTGCTCTACGGCTGAGTTATATCCCCAGCTATGAGCATTCAATTTTAAATCAGTGTAGAGCAGTTGGTGGTGCTTGCCTGAAATCCCAGCACCTTGAGAGATGAAGGGGGAGTATTTTAAGTTCCAGGCCAGCCAGCCTTAGCAACCTAGTTAGACCTGTCTCAAAATAAAAAATAAAGAAAGACTTAGGGATATAGATGAGGGATAGAGTGCCCTTCTGGGTTCAACCCCAGTATTTCAAAGAAAAATATTGTCAAAGCTTATATCAAAGATGCATGTTTGAAATAGATCTTATGTCATTATGAATTCTTATGTCATGCTTAATAAAGAAAAAACAGAATTGTTGGAATAAAACATGCACACAATAAAAACAAATACAGTGCTAATGTAGTATGTGACTACCATAAATAGTACTGAAAAATAACAGATGGAAAGATTAGAAAAGGTTAATGTCTATAATAAGGATGGATGAAAAAGGAAGAACTGTGGTCATGATCTGATTTTAAAATATTTCCATTTTTCCTAAAACACCTCTGTGCTTTTTGAATTCCCCCAAATCTCATTCATCTTCCATTCTTAAATACCCTTTAAATTATGATGTGAATTTTCTAATATTTCTGATGTTAAGAAAAGATGCCATACAAAAATAGTATAGAAATCTTGTTACATAATTCAGTGAATATTTCTGCAACCATTAAAATTGTACCTATAAAATCCACATAATAATTGCAGGGAATTTCCCATATATCTGTTTTATTATAATCTGGTGTAAATGTGGRAGTGAGAGAAAATGTGTTGATGTTATAATTATTTACAAGTTCAATTATAAGATGGAAATGTGTGGCCTAATTAAATTCTGCATGACTACATTAATTCTTGGTATTATGAAATTTTAGCAATGTCTTAGGATAGATCAAGTCCACATCTGATTTATTTATTTGTGTAGTTATCGTGTATCCCCAGTATCGTATAAGCTCTAAATAACCTGAGGTCAAATCTGTCTTTTTGGCTGTCTTCTTCTAACATCTTGATTTTAGCGCAAAGAACATTTGGTGAAAATAATATTTTATTAGTAAATGCAACAATGAAGTATATTAGGACCAGCAAACCAATGAAAATGAAGTCCACCATCAAATCTGCAGGTTACACAGATTTCTTGGTTTTGATTCCACATTGAGGTTACAGGCTTACCCAAATAGAAGCATTTCTCAGAGCAAAAGGATGGCTGTTCCACAATTCTAGGGAAAATATCATTAGAGTTTAGCCTTGGGGCTGGGGTTGTGGCTCAGTGGTAGAGCCCTTGCCTAGTATGTGTGAGGCACTGAGTTGGATCCTCAGTACCACATATGAATAAATAAATAAATAAATAAATAAATAAAAGGTCCATCAGCAACTATATATATAAAATAAAAATTCAAAGCACTTTTAAAAAGTA